CGCCACAGCGATCACTGCGGTAGCCGCTACAACAGCAACCTCAGAAAGAGCGGCATAACGCTCGTCAAATGTCTCAATCAGCGCGGTCTTAATAGACCCGAACATCTCTGGTATCTCAGCTCTGATGACCGCAGCCACCTCCTCATGAATGATTTGTCGAATGTCCTCATCACTAGCTCCGGCACCCTCCGGCATATGACGTGTCCTCACCATGATCAACCTCTGAAATACAACATGCGATAAATTAGAATTCACTCGAACATTCTTACACTCGACAATCCACCCCTCCCTGATTCTTGGTATCCCAAGATTCTTATTTGGACTATGTACCGCCCCGGTGCTTTCAGTAGTACGGGCCCAATACTACTATCCACACCGTCTCAGTACACACCCCAAACCTTCCTCTTCGGATCCCAATTCCCAAGTACTCTATCATGCATAGATCACTCTCTAATATGTCTCTCATAAACCCCTTGCTGCTACCTACTCACTCTCAGCATCTCATAGCAGCTCACCCCTCCCTAGAGTAAGGCATCACAAATCAGGCCACTCTAGTCCTATTAGCAATACCTAGCCTACTCTAGCATACAGATACATCATATCAATATTAATATCACGTAATATAAAGGTATTTTGGGAATTCACCATTCGGGCGCTGACTGATCGTACACATGTTTCTTCCTGGAATTTGTTTCTTTTTCAAGAAAATCTTTTACTCTTAGAAAAGTTAAGTTTTTCTTTTGAAAACATCTTTCCAATTCCTCATTTTGAGTTCAAATACTCCCGAAGGTGTACCCGAATCCCTCAAACCAAGGCTCTGATACCAAATTGTAACACCGTAAATTTCAAACAATTTTTTTTGATTTTCTTATAAAACATAATTCGATTAATATTCATCAACAACCATATTAATTATCCAATATAAGTTAATACAAAATCCCAAGATCATAATGTAAAAACTCCGAGTGTGTGTGTACGGATCAAGCCGGCGCCTTCCCGCGGTCGTCACTAGTACCTGAAATAAAACATCAAACACTGTAAGCACAAGGCTTAGTGAGTTCCCCAAAATACCACACATAACACATATTAGCCACTCGAGGCTATAACTCTGTGGGTCCGTGCACCCAAACTCTGTGAACCCTCAGGTTCTAGCTCTGATAAACATGCACTACATAAATCACATAGAAATAATGCAGTACAACACATAACATACATAGCATACAAACATTCTATCACATAACTCTGGTTACCTACTCAAGGCAATATAGTATAGTGAGAAGACTCACCTCGCGTATCTCGGTATCTCACGAATCCTGGCAATCCCTCGTGCTCGATCCTCCGAGCTCTAATCCTCCTATAACATTATGTTTCTAATTAACACTTTATATCTCTAAGGTTGACTATCCATAAGAAGTCAATCACAGGTCAACTCTGGGCAACGGTCAACGGTCAACTCTGACCGGACTCGGCGAGTACCATACCGACTCGGTGAGTCTAGACGTTTTCACCAACCCTTTGAAATCCCCTTACTACACGTCGAGTATTCCCCCTTTACTCGACGAGTTTCTCCCGAATGAATCGTGGGGCCACCCCGACTCAACTCGCCGAGTCTCAAGGACAACTCGGCGAGTCCAAGCTTGACTCAGTCCACTCATCATCCCTCTCCAACTCACCTTGACTCACTGAGTCTACCCATGACTCGATTGGACCACTCGCTGAGCAGTCCCAAGGCAATCTTCAAGCTACTCGCCGAGTCGGATGAACAGACTCGGCGAGTCCATGCCATGCAACCACTCCAACTCGCTTCTAAGGTCAGATCTGCTTCCAAAAACTATAGATCTGGCCTCCCTCGACTGATTCATCACGTAAAGCTCCTATCTTGGAGCTCATAACACCCCTATAGCTCAATAATGGAGTTTTTGACCTAAGGCATGAGGATTCCAATCCAAAGCCTCCATTGATTCCCAAAAAGCTTGGGTAAAGGGACACTCTGGACCTCTATGGATCCAGATCCAGAGTTTTAACACAAGAAGGGGGCTATTTGTAATCAACTCATTCCATAAATGTCCAAAAGAAACCCTAGGTCTCCCTATACTCCACAATCCAGAACATGGATCGAATTCATACCTTTAGATCGATGCTCTAAGCTTCAAATCCACTGAATAGCAACCTCTTTTGCTTCCTCTTGCTTAGATTCTTCTCCTTCTTTGCTAGATCACACACACAAGGTCAATAAGGCTTCCTTTCTCTCTCAAAACGTTCCAGCTCTCAAGGGTCTCTCTCTAAGGGTTGGGTGAGCACAAATGACGGCCATAAGGCCCTTAAATAAGTCTCAAACCCGAGAAATTAGGGTTTCATTACACAACGCAGACTCGCCGAGTCCATATCCTAGACTCGCCGAGTCCAGGTGGGATCCCACATCCAATCCGCGTCCCTACTCGGCGAGTCCTGAGCTCCAACTCGCCGAGTCCCTCCCACAAAACAACAAAATAATAAAAAAACAAGATACCTGATATAATCCGGCTGTTACACAATCTGTCTTGCCACATGTCACATCACCAAAATTAAATCAAAATCATCAATCACCTATTTCTTTTTTACTTGAATTCTAAATTTTTATAAATATTTTACATCAGAAGGGGATTTGTGTCTATTTGCAGAAACAAGAGATAGAGATTGGAGAGCAAGTTGTAAGTTGTAACTTGGACTCATCTTCACCTATGTCTTCACTTCAACCCTATATGACACTTGTACTTACACTGCCACACACACATTAAAGTATTTCATGAATAATAATAATAATAATAATAATAATAATAATAATAATAATAGTAATAATAATAATAATTCATGAAATGATTGGTGAGTAGCAGGATTATGTATGTACCTTAGTATTTGATCTAAATTTTCAAGTACATGAGGCAACCTTAATGTTAGAATTATAAAAAGTGCATTGTTAACCTGTAATAATGTAAAACAACAGATTCAGTGGAGGATATTTTTCCCTCTGTTGTAATAACAATAGTAAGGGCAAAATGGTCATTCTTTGCTGGCATGTTACGTCTGTTCATCATTATTACAGGTTAACCGAAGAAACTTATGTCAAAATGTCCCTACATATTACAAAATTTATTTTCCAAGTCCAATATGGTGAAAAGACTAAAATGCCCTTGGTATTAAAAGATCCAACTTTATCACCTCGCCTAGTGTACTTCTTCCGATTATCATCTTCATCTGCATAATAAAAAACCTCAAAGTTTTGCCTTTCAACTTGTTGCACAGTCTTTCTTGTTGTAGCACCAGGCTACATTGGAAATGGAATTGGAATTGGATTCTCAAAAATTAGTAAAGATGGAAAGGCAAATATCATACTTCTTACATTCAAGTTTTGACATTAAACATACAAGTAAACTGTTTGGCAAATTCATTTGCAAATCAATGTGCCCTTATCTTATTAAGTATCAATTTTGCAAATAAACTTACATAACATCTTGAATTGTCAACAAAAAGAATTGATACCTTGATCATGCAAGAGCTTGTAATCTGGATCCGAATTGTATCTTTTCAAAGTTCACCAGACAAGCTGCAAAAAGGATGTAAGAAATTATTGATCTGAAATTCTACACCCGTGTTAAATGCAAGAAATAGAAACTTGCTTCCATTGATTTGTTTATTATAGCATCCTACTTCCAGATTTTCCTATTACTGCATTGTACATTGAAAAATCAACTCAGTTATACTTATACTTAAATACAAAAAAAAAAAAAAAAAAAAAACTGATATAAACACTTCGATTTTTCAAAAAACATTGAAGAAATAAATGTGAAAGTACATTGCTATATTTCGAAGGATTTTTCAAAGAAAGTCTTAATAAGAAAAAAAATATACTGAAAGTACAAAATCATGATAAAAAGAAATGAATGTATGAGGCTGAAATACACAAATAAATCAAAGTATGTTGCTTTTTCTTGCATTTAGACTCGTTAGAATAAAGATTCATCTTTTTGGTTTTTATTTATGCTGGCATCATAGACATGTAATTTTCAATTAAAACCAAGAAATGATAGAACTTACATAGGTCTTGCTGAACAAGATTCCCGCCAGTCACCTTATAATATTCAACCGTGTTATCTATCAAGATACATGAAATGAAATCATCAAAAACCCAGATCAACTATAAGATTCATATGGGAAAACAACACACTTCTCTTGAAAAATATTAGGGCAAGACTTACCATTCTAGTCTATTCATTCATTTTCACCCAGAAGACTCAGTCTTTGTTAAAAGATGATCAAAATCTCTCATTCTATACTTGGAAGGTAACTTTAATAGTTCTAATTTGGACTCACTACTAGAAATACAACAAATGAAGGAAGGTGGTGCTAATATGTTTGTTGTTATTAATGCTCTAAAGGTATGTTTTTATAATGCTTATTGAAAAATAAATAAACCGTACATTGTATGTTACTTGACATAGAAGCACTAGGATTACATTACAGTGAGAAATAATAACATTGTCCCAAATATAAAACAAAAACAAAAGTTAATATTTGGTGGTCCTTACTATGAGAAGAAGTCATTCTTGATCTAATTATGAAATTTGATGTACATGTTACTTGGTTGAGACTATTAAAGACTTGTAACTTGTCTAGAAACCAGTGGTCAATACAGTTACAGTCAAGTCAATCCCATGATTGGTTTTCTTTAGCAAATGTTAAATATGTTACCAGAAAAATTATATAAAATATAATATATATGATATAATATATAAAAAGAATATGAGTTTGACACTTAATTACCATTTCCTCCATCTTTGAAGTAAACTGACCACCACCTAGATACCACGGAGGAACCATCTAGAGAATCAAGAAGTTAGAGATACCACTATTTAATGGAAATAATTCAAATGGCTGGGTTCTTGAGGCAGAGAGATGATTTGTAGATAACCAATTATCAAAACAACAAAAACTAGAGGTTGCGGTGGCTGCACTAGAGGGCTATGTTGCTCGCTGGTATGACGAAGAACACCATCGCTGACCAATTAGAGATTCGGATCCTCAATGTTCGCAGCAGAGCCATGGTGGTCGGTCTCCCATAGCGGAAGGCAGTCGGAGCACCAATGGAGTAAAAGGGAGATAACAGATCCGTTAGATGATGGATGGGAGAATAGACTGGAAGAAACGTTTTTAGAGTTTCAGAAAAATAGGCTTAAAAGGGATAATTGGGCCGAAATCAAATCGTTGGGCCAACAAAAATTGAATCAGACCGTTAACTTTGACCTGCCATTAAGATCGATCAAACGAATATCCCAAGAGAAATCAATGCACCGATAACAAATTTAGCCCCACCTTCGGAGGTGATTTCACCGATTCTCACTTATGCATCAACCCCACCCTTGTTAATTTCATCGTTTCCTACCGAGGAGCTACAAGATGGTGATCTATTTCTAAGAGAAAAAAACGAAATACTAGGAACAAAATGTCATTGTGCTAAACTTCAAGGTTCAAAGAAAGACAAAGAGATTGGGAAAAGTCCTATTGTTTTTCCTTTGAGTTTACATGATAATATTACCGAAGGAGAAGATGTTAATACAATTGCTGATAATGATGATCAGGAAGAACATAAGGCTCAACATGAAGGTAACAACAGTACACTATCAAGTCCATTGGCACCATTGATGGAGGTGGTGCATACAATTGTGTCAGATGATTGTGTTTATTTTGGTGTAATGGAGATTAAAGCTTTGAAATGGATGCAAAACCCACAAGTTATTTTTGCTAAACAATCTAATCCTGTTTGTTCAACTGCTTGGTTGAATGATTTTTCTCTAATCAGGCAGGTTCGTTGCAAGGCTACTCCCGATGTAGTTTTTACACTACAAGAAATTGTAAGAGTAAACTTGAAGCCTAATTTAATTACTTACAATCATTTGATTCATGGATATTACAAGGAGGGGAAGTTAGTTGTTCTAAAGAGAGCTATGTTTGATCCTTTTGACACAGGCAAGAAGATGAACAACATCAGGTCGTATGCGAGAAGGGTGTTTATTATGAACGACTGCAATGTGTTGATGCAGAAATATCTTGGTCCCTTGGGGGGATGTTGTGGATTCCTATGACTTAACAGTCAACAATTCCCATGAAAGGCTACACCTGAACAAGATTCTACAAATCATCAGGAAGAAACACATTGAAATGTTCAACAAGATTGCTAAAAACAATAAAGATGGAGAAGTTGTGGTGATATCTAATTAGAGGAATTCTGCACCAGGGAGAACTTCTCACTCTGAATTTATGGAGGAGGATAGTTGTAGTGAGATTAAAGAATCAAAAGAGAGTCAACTAGAAGTCATTATACAGTGGAAAGGCAAGCTTATATCGGAAGTTACTTGGGGAGAATTCATAACTGTGCCTTATGTTTTTCCTTGCACCTTGAGGACAAGGTGTATCTTTTAGGATGGGGTATTGCTAAGCCTTTAGTCAAGCTCAAGAAGGTTTATGGTTCTAATAACTATTACTTGTCCCCATGTTTTATTATTAATGAGAAGGGGAATACTGATGTTGAAGCTGGTAAGATGATCATAGGTGGAATAAATGGGGTGGTTGTAGATTATTGTAAGGTTGAGGATAACATAAAGAGGCCAACCGGAAGAATTGGGATGTCGTACATCGTTTTTATCCACCTTGAGGACAAGGTGGTTATTTGAGGACAAGGTGCAATGGAGCAAGTGGTTGGGATATCTGTGGTGGTGGTTGTGGACCTTGTGGTGGGTGATGATAAGGCTGAAGGCAAGAATAGGCCAATAATTCTGTATTTGAACTTTTGGAAATGCCCTTGTTTCAGAATATTTCAAATGTTTCTTTAAGTGCCTAGAAAGTAATAATATAAGGGATAAAATAGCAAATACCAAGTTATAATTCAGTGAATTAATAATGCAAATGTACAAACCTTATGAAATCGGGTGTGGTTCATAAAACAGTCATTTACATAAGCCATGTACTTGTCATGCAGCTCAATCACTTTTCTAACAAAAACCTAGAAACCAGACCACAATCAATTGTATTATTATTAAAATGTTAATTCTTTTTAAAAAAAATTGAGACAGTTCAAATTTATAAAAATTTACCTGTTCCTGCAGGCCAACCACATCTCTCTTTTCTGTCTTCTTATTACTTGCAGCATCTTCTGCTTGTTTGACCAAGGTTGTGCCTTTAGTAGCAACATGCTACATTGCGTCAAAAAGATAGAAACAGATGAAAACAAATACATATAAATGCATTCTACTTTAAAAAAATAGAATCCAACTCCTAAATCACAAACCTGTTTAAACATACTAGAGACAGGATCCAATCCACAGGGTATTTTGGAAAATAGTCCTAACATTATTAACAAATCATCAACCTGCAAGTGAAGGGTAGAAAGGGAAGAAACAAATGTTCACAACGAGTAAGAAATCTAAACACCAGAAGTTTCACAGTGATTTTTATGACATATGAATTACAATTTTCTTCCCTGTGGTATATCGAAATAGCATAGGGACCAAAATTGTGATTTACTCTTATGTAATGGTAATACAACAACATACCTTGTCATCCCTAAGTAATGCATGACAACCAGAGTGTTCCTTTTCAAGAAATTGGGTTGCATACATGGATTGAAACTCATTTTGAACTTTCTAAACACAAATTTCAATAACAATAAGTATAAAAAAATTTAGTCACAAATTTAAATAGTGAAAAAGCAAACCTCAAGAAGCTTTGTTTCATTACTAACAAAATATGCCCCATGTCCTTGAAGAATAAAGAAAGACATTTATAATTAGTTAATATAAAAAAACTTTTTTTAATATTATTTATAGATGAAGAAGTACCAAATCAGGAAAACAGGTAAGGCCAACTTCTTTTAGAGCAAGAAGAGATCTTTGAGTGATGAAATAACGATCAAGATAATGGAAGAATCTTGAAAGCCATCTCACCATGACTTTATGATTTGACCATCTTCTAACAAGCTCTTTGAGCATGAACTCACCATGCTTCTCTCTCAAAGAAGGTAAAACCTGAAGCAGAGACATTGATCTTAGATCCACTCAACCTCTTTTCCAGATCTATGAGTTCTTTTCTAGAAGCCAGGGCAGCCAACTTAATACCTAAAGACATAGATATCATATCCAATATAGGAGATATAATCTGCTATACAAAAAGGGTATCTTAAAATATACGTAATAAAGATATATGTAGCCTTTAATAAAACTGAAGTGGACATCTAACCTTTATGTTCATAATAAGAAATCAATTGAACTTGGGAATTAGGAGAAAGAATAAAAGAACACAAACCTTTGCATAACAGTTGAGCTACATAACATCTGGAATATTCCCTGAGCATGACAATTCCCAACATAATCAAACCCTAAATTACAGAACCATGAAATCAAAAATAATAGAGATGAAAAATTAGTAAATTCAAAAGAAGTTGAAGGAATTCCAATTAGCAATGGAGTAAATCATACCTATAGATGTTGTTATTTAGATATGTAGAGAAGAACAGAGGCAAGTCATGGTGTGTGAACAGATAAGCCGATATTAACATAGAATCTTCGAGAGGACTACTAGGTGGAGAAAACCAAACACGATCGATGGATATTTTGTGAGGAGTGATAAAGATGGAATCGGAGAAAGCTGGAAGAGATAGACCAGGGATTATCGTGAAAGTCAACCGTTAAATCTCCCATCCTTTTGCTTGAATTTGAAACCTAAATCGTGTTTAAACTAGGTGATATGGAAATGTTCAGAAAAAATATGGAGAAGAAAGGCAAAAGAGAACGTGACAGGGTTTTCCAAACATTTGGGATTTCGCTTTTTCCCCTTGCTACTACCGAGTACAACACCAAATCATTAGGGAGTCTTAGTCACATGCGGGGAAATGTGAGGTCGAGGTCACCGGCGAGGTGAGGTGAGACACAAGTTTCCAGCGAGCTTAAGCGAGGTTGATCAGGTCGTCGATTGCAAAGCTCTCATGTGGAACGAAAATTGGTTTTGAATGATCATGTGTTCTGAGTGTTCTAAAAAAAGCCCTAGAATTAATAGTACCTACGATTTTATGATAAAAACGCGCATTTGTTAAAAATTATAATGCGACATGTGTAGAGCACACACATTTGACATAAAGCGCCCTCCGTGCTTGTAATTTTTTTGTAGGACACTAATTTTAGGGCACGCATAAATACATGTCCTCTATCCTTAAAATTTTGGTAAACTGACACTAATTTTTAGGGCGCGCACAAATGCGCATCCTCTATC